ATATAACATAATAACTTACAGATCCTATCTGATCGAAGAAATGATGTTTTATGTTTGCAAGAAGTTTCACATTATTAAAGCAAACTTGAAATGAAATTAATGTATGAATCAGTCAGGATACATCTAGCATGGATGTGTCCAGTATGAGCAACATAGATCGTAATATACTTTCTCTTCGTACACAATCATAGAAATTTTAGATTCATATTTATAAAAATGTCATGTGTGAACGTTAACGTATAATATTAGATGCGTATTATTAAAAGAATACAGAGAACAACTATGCGTGATTACATCATCATTAAATGTGATGGATTTCTTTGTCTTTGCTCGCATGTAAAGGCAACGGTGCATCCGCGTGTATCGAATGAAAAAAACGTTCGCCTTCTGTCGAGCCATTGCAATTTACGTTCGTTATATCAGCATCGATTATATATTTATACTTCTGATGTATCTCACGCGTTTGTGTCAAGGAACTCACAATGATAATCGCTTCAATCGTGCTTGTTCACCGAGGATTATGGCGCAGATTCTAACGCACTTGATGGTCAAACAATACATACGTACATGCATCAACTGATACCTACGATACACATAAAAATCAACGAAAAATCAAATACTTAGATGACAATTAAAATTCTACGTTTACTTAAGTTCGACAAAGAACTGCAACTTCTTTGAAAGACTTGAGTTAAGTACTATCGATTACACTATCGAGAGAAAGAGAGAGAGAAAGTGTCTTCGCTGAAGTCACACTTATCATTCAATAGTAGCGATCTGTATCTTAATAGGCTATAACAGTAAACTATATTATTTTTTACGACGAAATATATTTTTCTTTATCACATACTCGATCTATTTGGAACAAAGAGAAAGCTGATTTAATAACGCGACAGTGCGCCTTCGATGTATTTCGATAGCACGATTCACTTCCGACATTACTACCGAAATATCGATTTAATCTGCCGATGAACAAACCGGCTCTTCGGAGAAAAGTATCAGTGTTTAATTGACGTTATTTTTCATAATGGAAACGCTCTAGACGAGTGCGTCATTTAATAAGCGACATAATAAACGTGTACATTAATGAGCAAGCCTCACTTGTAAAATGCGGATGTTGCTACAATCGTAGCTGATCTCTGCTAATTGTCACGCAAGAAGATAACAATCGTGTATGTCGTTTTCCATGTGTAATCCATGAGTCGCGAGTTTCGCAAATTCTTGGAAATGACATGCACCATAGCCAAGGCGCATCACATCATGATAAAAAATAGATAAACGTTCGAAAGTGCTTTTCTTTATAGAGAAAAGCAATTCTTGCCTCTTCCGTTATTATTTTTGTAACAATAGTAAAATATAAATAATGTAAAATATATATACGTAATCGCGCGCGCGCAATAAAATTTAAATTAACATACAATCTGAAGATTGAGTTTCTGTTTGTTACAAAATATACTAAAGTATGTATATACATTGAATATGAGATTATTAATTAATATCTGATACGCGGAAAGAACGGTTTTACTGAAGTCTAAAAAGTCTAAATCCAAAAATTTATTAGATACAAATTAATTAGATACAAATCTGAAAAATTTGTTGGACCATCAAAATAATTATATAGAGCGTTCAAGCATGATGAACAATACTGTAAAAATTTTGATATTTTAGCAACCAGCTTGAGCATCTTATATAATTATTTTAATGATACAACAAAATTTTTAGATCTATGTAGTAACTAAATTTTTAAATACTTCAAAAAGCAAAACATTCTTTTTGTGTATAATTTAATATATCTGTTAATATACTGAATTAAAATAAAATTAATATCTGTGAGTATGAGACATACGTGCAAAAGTCTTACGTTTACGGTTCGTATCACTCTAGGTTCTACTACGTTAGTTAATATTAATCATAATTATATTATTTCTTATAGTTCGTATTTATGATTTAGCAGAAAACAAATAATTAATTAATCATAATACCGATGGAACCGTTTCTTAATTGGAATTCCCTAGTGGACATTACTCCACGAGTGAATTTTGTCGGGAATCAGTTTCTCGTTCTCGAACGAGATCAGTGGGTCGACTGCGAGTCGTGAATAAACAACATTCGAGCGCGGAGGCGAAGGAAAAGGAAACTCTCGTGGCTCTCCGCACGAGCTGCCAAGCGAAGGTGAAACTTTTTCTCTTTGCACACGACGCGACGGGTCAATGGGTCTCGGCCTGTCTTTGCATGGGGATAACGGTTTTCCCCATGCTCTTCTCTCTCGATTTATCGCTTGGTACTCATGAAAAGAAACTAAACGATTATTATCCGGTAATATTCTCCGACAAAGACAATTAAAAAAGCTTACTTCGGTATGTGTCAAATTTACATAAGACACAAAATATTCATAATTCAAATCTGATATTTAGTGATAACGTTTAGAAATTCCATTAAAATAAAGATATAAATCAATTCTCTCATATTTATTTTCTATTGAATTATATATTCTGAGTAAGTTCTTATAATCATTCCAAAGTATGCAGATAAAATCGATTGAAAACGAGCATATTTTTTTGTTCCGTAAAGAATTCGTTATCACGCAAAAATTATTACAATGTGCGGTAGAAACACATTGTGAACATTTTTACGAACGAATCATGCCTGGTTGTTAGACGTGTAAGCGACAAAGGGATAATCTTCGAAGAGCGTTGTCCGATTTCGTAAGCAGTTCCTGACATTTTCGTGGCGATGTAGCGCCGGCCTTTTGTAGAGTTGTCAGTCAGTCAATCTCACAACGAGTAAGATTGCAACAGCTGATCGGTCAGCCGCACTGTCATAAGGCGATTTAACGACGATTTGTTAGCAACGGTCTTTTATTCGGCGTCAATCGTGATTACGCAATTGTTATTAACGCCGGTATAATACGTCGATTAACCTTATGTGATTGTCTGCCTCAATTTTTTTCTCTTCGAGCTTGTGAAATTATCGGATGTTCTTATTACGCTTTTGAGTTCAATGTGAGGTCATAGGATTTATGCTAATAAGGGAAGTTTCACAACTGTCCGGAATCGATTTGATTCTCCATGAAATATGTTGTTAAACACGAAAATCTAAGAGAGAGAGAGAGACACGTATTTTTTTATACGTGCCCTAACTCATGTTTAAGGGGTGAAACATCCCTTTGAAAAAAATGGTATTTTTCTTTCGAGGTGAATATCGTCGGAAGTATAAAAGATAGTAAACAATTTTTTAAACAAATGTTGTAGGAAAAAAATGTCGAAGGAAAAAAATGTTTTTTCAATTTTTTTCTTAATAATTGTTAAAAAAATTAAAAAAATTTTTTTTCTTCATAACATTTTGAAGTACTCTTGAAACCGTACGACTTTTGTTTAAAAAATTTTTTTCCATTTTTTATACTTCCGACGATATTCACTTCGAAAGAAAAATACCATTTTTTTTCAAAGGGATGTTTCACCCCTTAAACATGAGTTAGGGCACGTATAAAAAAATACGTGTCTCTCTCTTAGATTTTCGTGTTTAACAACATATTTCATGGAGAATTAAATCGATTCCAGACAGTTGTGAAATCTCTCGTAAGATGAAGTTGTTGCTAATAAAACAGACAGTAGCATCTTACGCAAGGTGTATACGGAATTTCATTTAATTAACCCTTAGTATATACATACCATAATTTTTATTTAAAATAATTAATTTAAAAAATAAATTTTCAATACTTTTACAAGTTTACAAAAATTATTAAATGATTCTCACATATATTTTAACTTTTTTAGAAAGTATTTGTAAGTTTGTGTGTATTAAAAAAAAGAGAAAGGATAAAGACCGTTATTTAGTCAGGTGCTCCTAATATTTCAAAGAAAAGAAATGCGCAGGACACGAATGATCTAATCGTATGTAAGGGTTAATATTATATTATTTAATTTGTGATATAATTACATACTATTTATTTAATTATTACTTATTAATTATATAGATATAGCTTATAATTGCATGTTAATATTTCGAAGGTTACATTCAACGTGTAAAACAAGAAAACCATCCCTGCAATTTAAATGCAAATTACTATTACCGGTCAAAGTTCATCCGTGCACTACGTCGCGTGTACTTGTTAACGAGTGATCATAGAATAAGTATAGCTCGCAAGCCTATCTTTACATTTTTCTTTGTACATAGCAATATATTACAATGCCCTACGAGACCACACGTATCGATTTGACACACAAGGTACATTTTCACTTTGCGCCAGACTCGACAGGAAAATTTGAAAATTGTATAAAATTACCGCAACTCTAACAGCCTCGACTATAATTACAATATGCGCGAGAGTAATGTGGTAAAGCATGCGGACGCTTAATCGCGTATCTTCACCTTAATAGCACCATTGGACACCGGCTTAATAGGCCAATGGGTATTATATAATATCCACGGCCGATACTTGTTCACATGTTACTCAACAAGCGTGTCATTACCGCTTGCTTTAAAGAGTCTAAGACATACACGAACACATTACGTGTTCCATTGTTAACGGATTTATTCCCTTAAATTTATAAAAATTAATCACTATGCTCCGTTAATCCTTTATTTTAATTAGATGGACAGATCTGACGAAAAAATTTTGACACATCAAGATCTATTGTATCTATATCAGACATCAATGAATATATGAACCAGATGAAATAATGATAAAAATCCTATGTGATGATGAGAATGCAAATAAACTATTATTCATGTATGTTGAATCTTTCTGCATACAAACAATTGCTGCAGTTTCTCGTGCGTAATTATCTTGACACAGCATAAAATTCAAGAGTTCACTTCTCATAAAATCTTTAGAAATGTCCTTATAAAATTCATATATACATCACAATGCTCGCACGTATATTTAAGTATTCTGTTTTCGCTACGTGGCACGACTATGGGGTTTATGTTGATTCTCCATTATGTTTCTGCATATTCTTCGACGCGCGTGCATCTGCATTGACACGCTTATTACATACTCTTCTCGACGAGGATCACGCTATATTTGATTACTATTGGCTTGGTCGGTAAACTCCATCCTGCCATCCTGCCTGCGATCGGACATTCCAGGAGAGCGAGCATGCAATCATTAGGTTGTTAGCTGATTGTGGTTGTATCCGAACATCATTATATTGCACCATTGCGGCAAAGCCGATTCACTCCCACGGCCTACTAATGCCTCTCACGTTATTAAATACCGTGGAAATGCGACCATTTGGAAATTCCGTATCTCTCCCTGGTCCCCATCACACTTAGACTCGCGAACGCGTTGCTCTACATTACTGATGCATTTACTCGTTGGTTGCGAGAAAATCTTTGGTGTATTAGCAGTGTAAACATCCGTTTTCTCTCGGTAATTTTCGTTCACACTGACGTCATTCGGCGTTGATCGGATAAACTTTCTTTCTCTTTATCCGTGTTACAAGCATAGTTACATAATACAGGAAGATACAAATTACTAATCGTAGCTAATCAATCAAGGTCGCCAGCGTAATTTTTTTTTACCATTGTTTTCTTTCTATTTATACACAAGAAGAACAGTTTTGCTGAAGTATCGAAAAATTAACTAAATACGGAAAATACTAAAAATAATTTTGTTGGACTATCAAAATAATTATATGAGTCATTCAAACTGATTGCTAGAGAAAGATTTATTTGGACTCGAAACTCCTATTTAAGTTTATTTGAAACAATTTAATTTTAAATGAAAACTATTTTGTTTAATCCCAAAAATTTAGCTTGAATGCAATCAATTATTATACATTTTTTAATTTAAAGAATCAGTTGGACTGTTCCAATGACTATATTTATTAAATTTAAAGAAATTTCTCTCTCTCTCTCTCTCTCTCTCTGTAGAACGCCAAAATATTTTGCAGCTCATCATGCTTGAGTTTTCTATATATATTTTATTTTGTGGTTCAACAAAATTATGTATCTAAAGTTTTAGAGATTTTAGAAAAATCGTTCTTTCCACGTATCTATCGATAACCAATATTACGATCTAGAAAAGAAATAGAGAATAACGAATAAGATTTATGTTAATTAGTTATGAAATCAGTATTATTTCAATGAGCTAACATTTCGTGGCTATAGACTGATGCATTAATAACTCGGGAGAGATAGGCGAGTATATTACCATTTGAATAACCATCGATCATGTCCTTGCTATGACGTCATTAATGTGCATCTTACTGAATTAATCCGACGCGTATAACAATGTTGAGACATCCTTGCGGAAATTGTCTGACCGAAGGCAATGCTAATACAGTGATGCTTAACACTAGTATTGCGTTACAAACGGTTATTTTGTGAGGCATAGGCCGCAAGACTGGATCAGGATATCATTAGTCAAAGAGATTGCTACTTAAACGAGTAGAAAGTAAACGATTCTCGCAATCATTCGGTAGCAGAAATGTGTAGTAGGTACTTACTACATTAAAAATATTAAAGTGACACAATATTATTTACAAAGATATATTGTTCACCTCTCTTTTTCCTTTTTTCTACATATAATGTTAATTATGTTATATTTACTTATTAATGGCTTCCTTTTTTTATATATTATAACTTCTTTTATTACATTTTATGAAGAAATATATTGTATATTATAAACAAATATATTATAAGCTAAATATTCACTTTGATAAAGCTCTCGAAATTAAGTCCATGTTTTTGTAATAAGTGTGTCGTTTAAGCATGGTTGGCTTTTTGATCGAGTGGCGTAGAGAAAGTGTGTACATCAGACGAGATAAAGAATCTCCAAGAAAGTTCGTGCGATGCAGTATTATCGGGAACCTGTTGGTGGTAACAAGTGGACGCAAGCCGGTACCACCTACTCACAGCGATCAAAAGTGAGTACCCGGGGCGCGTGCTTGCACAAGAGTCGAGAGAGGCTCGTCTGCTTTTAAAAGTAAACTCGTAGCTCGTGAAATTGCGCGAGGAACCTCTCCCCCCCCTCTCCTTCATAACGTGTATCAGCATTGTAACCTCGATTCCTTTGAGAGACGGCACGGCAGTGCCGCGCACCCGAGACGCACGATTGCCCCTTCTGCGAGCAAGCGACGATGAAAGTCCGCTGCGTTTCTTATTTTACGAACATTTTACGTGCGGATGATCTAATCGAGGCAGGCTCGAGCGGTTTCGTGAACGAGGTGCATTGTGTTACAAAACTCGCGGAGTTTTCCTTCTACCGGTTGACAATGTTCACATGGATAATTAGATCGTTTAATGATTTGCTCCGTATCTATTATCTCAAGACTATCATAAGATACGGTAGAAAACCCTTATAATGGAAAAAGTGACAAGCTAAATTAAGTAAATAAATGTTGTCAAATAAATTGCGTAATTGACATTTACCGTTATATAATTTAGAAATAAAAATGAAATATTATAGATTTTGCGCGTGTGTAATTAATTACGTTATACTATGATAATATATACTATCGCACACGGAAAGAATAATTTTGCTGAAATATCTAAAAATTTAGCTAAATACAGATTTGAAAGTAATTTTGTTAAACTGTCAAAATAATTATGTATCATAAAATGTTAAATCAATCATCAAGCTAAAATGTTAAAACTTTTTGCATTTTTCATCATGCTTGAGTAGCCTACATAATTATTTTAATGGTTCTCTAAAATTATTCTTAAATCTACAGCTAAATTTTTAAATACTGCAGCAATATTGTTCTTTCCATGTAATAATAATTATCGAATGGATGGATCATTAATTAAGTATTTCTAGCTTAGTTTATGCAACGTAATAGGCGATAAGTTTATTAATTGTTGGTGTTTTGACAGCGGAATCGAGATAAATAGAAGTTAAAACAAATGGGGCTAGAATTTTCATTTGTAATGCCCTATCATATTTTGCAGTAAGCACAATGTAAATAATAATTTAAGTGTTGATGTCAGAAGGTACTTACGATGAAGAGACAAGAATCTTCCAGGTCGGTTACTGTGCGGTCGGGCTTCATTGATCGCCGGCTCGGCGTTAGCGAACGCCGCGAGGAGCACTACAGCTAGCGGCACCAGCATCATCTATTGCAAAATAATAAAAAAGATATTATTACGGATAAAAAACAATAGTATATGGAAGATGATGATCTAATTTTGTAATTTATAATAGAATAATTTTTATAATTTTTATTGCAATGAAAACAATAAATGTTTATTATTAGCTTCAATTAATGCATGTCGCGAATAATAATATGTCAAATTGATAATATGTCTATTGAAATTATATATATAGAGAGAGAGAATTATAAAATAGTCTTATATAATCTCAAATACATTTTTCCTAAGTAAAGATTATGTCATAATTAAGAAATAATATATTTAATGTGTAACATGAAAGATTTATAGGTTAATCGAAAACAACTTTATATGTTAATGAAAATCAACAGATTATTTTAATATTGATTTAGAATTTAGATATTCAGATTCACAATTTCGTCGGCTTATTACGATGCTCTGGGACAAGCTGGTGAGAGTTTCGTACGTAATGGCGTTGACATATAGATACGCGATTTCATTTCACCGACATAAACAGTTCCTTTCCATCAAGCAGAAGTTTCTCTTAGGGAGTGTCTCTAATGAAGTAGCATTTTTTATGCATGAGAGCCAATACGTTAATTATCTATGTTACGTGATACGTCAAATCGCATCAACATCAACTGGAAGTTTTTCTAGCTACAAACAATATTAAAAAGTGTCAAGTGTCATCAATTTATATTGAAATAATTGTGGAAGCGCAAAATTATTTATAGATATATATATATATTTAGTAGTGAATTTTTAATCAACAAATATTTTCTCTACAATTTCTCTAAATTTTCATAAATTATAGAGTAATTAATATTAATTATAAATAAAACAATTAAGGAAAAAGGCCTACATGGTCGCGATTAGATTTTAGTTTCCATATAATAATATTTCTATATATTTTTAAATACATCTTTTCAGTTCTTTAAATTGCGCGCCAATTACTATCGGATAAAATCGGAAAATATTAATTATGCTGCACATATACTCTCTTTTCATTCTATATTGCTTTCACTAAAAATTTATGTGTCTTTCTACACTAATTGCGTGTAATTACTTGGTTACTAACTTATTGGTTATTCTAAACTACTCCAATACATTTGTGGAAACAAAATAATAACAACTTTTATTTATAAGAATTTGCATTGTATGTACTATAATTATGAAAAGAACAAAAAAGATAAGATATGTTAATAAGTCCGAAAGATGTACAACAATTTTTAATTACAAACATTAATTTAAAAAGTTTCGAAATTAAATTTCGCTTAATTTAATTTTTGATGCTGTAAATACAGGAAAAAAATACTTTACCTTATGTATATATGTATATCGTGTTTCATTATCATAAACGATTATATAGATTTTCATGTGTTTGCAACATCGAAATTTAAATTCACTGAAATTATATCGTACGTTTTAATCCTTCCGGACAACATCCGGATTTCGGCACTCACCTTATGTCACTTGTCTCTTGGAAAAATACAGATAGACTTGGAAGACGGCGGTTAAAGAAACGTGGTCACTGACAGGATATGAAGAGACGGGCACCTTCACCGTCGATTATATAGAAATGGTCCCCACCAGACCGCAGACTCATCCCACCCTTCGCTACAAGGACCCAGTGAGATGTTCCGATGGATCAAAACCTTAGTCGTAATTAGTTCGGATAATTAAGAGTTAGAGATACGGCGGATCGATTCTTCAGAAGAAAGCAACAACGTGCCCTCGCAATCGACTAAAGATTGATTTGACAATTTTTCTCTTCCTTTTATTCAGAGCCAAATCCGGTCCGCTTCTAGGAATTAAAAAAAGATGGATTTAATGAGAGAGGATGACAGGCGATAATTGATTAATATAGTAAGTAACGAGAATCTTACGCCATCATATATGTAAGATACTATCTCCGGGATACACTTCTTTAATTTTAATTAGTTATGATTACATTTTTGTGATGTATAGTGTAGATTTATAAATGTTTGAAAGTTATCGTTACATAAAGAAAA